ATATGCTTAATATGGGCCGCCTGGTTAGCTCAATTGGGAGAGCGCCGGACTGCTGTGCGGGAGGTCGAGAGTTCAATACCGGCCGGACCAACACTCAGGGTCTTAAAATTAACTGAGAAGAATATGCTTCCTTTCTTTAACATCTAGAAATGGTTAGATATTCTAGTCTTCTCGGATAGGGACGAATAAATGGAGGTCCCGTCTCCTGCAGGGTTAGGGGCAGGAGACGTTAATTTCCCACGCACGAGATTACTGTGTGATGGATGTCCTCCCTTGGGGTGGGATGGGTAGGTTTCCACATTTGCATTTAAACGAGCTGAAGGCTCATATGCGATATGTGGTTAAATAAATAAAATTACTAAAAAATTACTAAATTTCCTAACTTACAAGCAACAGGACGGCGTATCCTTTGATCAATTTGTTACAGATTTGAAACGACGAAGTGCAGAATGTGAATTCGGGGAACTAAGGAACTCACTAATTAAAGACATGATCGAAATTGGAGTAGCAGACAACCAATTAAGAGAAAAACTGTTACGAACTGACAATCTTTCGCTAGAGATCACAATAAAATTCGGTCAAGCAAACGAAACTACAAAGAAGCACGCAATGAGACTAAGTCGACCGGAAGCTAGAAACCAGACAACAAAAGATGTACTAAATACTTCTCGAAGCAGGACTAAACATCAAGAAAATCGACCCAGTTCAACACAAATCAATGCAAATAATGTGCTGGTCCACTTCAACGAGGAAAATGTCCCGCCATGGGAAAACATGCTCAAAATGCCACAAGAAAAATCACTTTTCCACAGTTGGTCTGTCAACGTCACACAAAGTACACTACTCGAGTGAAGGTCAATTCAATTATGCAAGCGAGACAGCAGGACATGTCGACGTGGATTATAGGATCCCTGTCTTTCGATGTCAACACGCTTAATAGTACACCGAATGACAACGATCGTGATTGAATGATCTCCCTACGGTCAAATAACAGTGTAACGCAATTTAAAATGGATACAGGAACCCAAGCGAATGTTTTACCACTGTCAACACTGGAAAGTTTATCTTCAAAGCCACATATAGCCAAAACACACACAAAGCTGACAGCGTACAATGGAATGAACATACCAGTCATAGGAAAATGCACGCTACAAATACACCATAAAGATGCAATTCACTCAGTTCCCTTTATCGTCACAGACACAAGGTCTCCATCACTTTTGGGCCTTCAGACAAGTGTTGACCTAAACCTAATTAAACGTATCTGGATGGTGAATGCCAATGAGCCTGAATTCATGCAAGAGTACAAAGATGTGTTCGAAGAACTAGGATGCTTGAAGGGAGAACATCACATCAACATCGATCCCAGTGTAACGCCAGTGCGTGATTCATCCACCTCGCAAAATATCGATTGCCCTAATGGAGAAGCTTAGAGCTGAGCTATGACGCATGAGCGAGCTAGATGTCATTGAGAAGGTGGATGCGCCCACTGACTGGGTGAATTCAATGGTAATTTTCGAAAAGAGTAACGGCCAATTATGTATTTACTTGGACCCCAGAGACTTGAACACTACTATTAAACGTCACCATTAACCTATGCAAACTGTCGACGAAGTTCTATTAAAACTCGGTGGTGCCAAAGTATTCTCAAAGTTAGACGTGTCCAGCGGATACTGGCAGATCAAAGTTAATGAGCCTAGTGCAAAACTCCTAGCGTTCAATACCCCATCCGGACGTTACTATTTCAAACGAATTCCGTTTGGAGTACACAGCACCGCTGAGATATTTCAGAAGAGAGTTGCTGAAATAATCGACAGCAGCATGACAGAGCTTTAAAGGACGTTCAAGACAGAATCAGAGACTCTGGTCTGAAGCTGAACAAAAAGAAATGTCGCATTGTAGTCACTGAGACAACATTTCTTGGTCACATGATCACGGCCGAAGGAATTAAGCCAGATCCCAAAAAGATTGAAGCAATAACAAACATGCAAACTCCAAGCAACAAAACTGTGGTCCAGCGTTTCTTAGGTATAATTACATACCTTTGCAAGTTTCTACCGCATCTCTCCGACGAAACAGCCCAACTGAGACAACTCCTTGAAAAAGATGTTGAATGGCACTTTGAGGAAAATCATCATCACGCAGCACAAAGGTTGAGCGAACTATGCAAACAATCAAGGGACTCCTCAAAAAAGGTATCAGGTCTGGCGATGACCCATATCTTACATTGTTTAATTTCAGGACGTGCGCATCACCCGACGGCACACCATCACCAGCCATGCTCCTAATGAACAGAAAACTCAAAACACACCTAGCGGATCTAGGTGAACGAACCCTTTCAACAATGTCGCTGAAGCAGAAACAACACTACGACAAAAGAAAAAATTCACTATCCGAGTTTCACAACGGATCTAATGCCAGACTGCATGACGGAAAGGGTTGGAGCATCAGAAGGCAAGTCGTTGATAAAGCCAAAACACCTAGATCTTGCATAATACAAACAGAGACCGGAGGGCAATTACGACGTAACCACCAAGACATACTAGCCACACCTTAGCCTACCGAGACAGAAGACGCCGCACCCTCAGAGGCCTCGAAGGAAGCCCAAGCATCACCCAAAGAGATGGAAAACAGTACACCTAATACTTCACTTACAGAGGTGGAAAATAGTCCGCCTAAGACCTATGTTTATGTTACACAATATGGAAGGACTGTGAGGCCACCCCGGCACAAGATTTTATTTACTCAAATCATGATATATTCATTACTATTGCACTAGATCAGCAACTATGAAATGAGAAAATCGATGGAGTCATTTTTCTAGATTTGAAAAAAGCTTTTGACACTGTTGATCATCAGATCCTTTTATCGAAACTTAACTATTATGGTATACATGGAAAATCTTTCAGATGGTTTCAGTCATATTTGGAAAACCGAACACAAAAATGCACTGTCAACGGGTCGCTATCCAGTAGCTACTCGTTGACGTCCGGCGTCCCTCAAGGGACCTTCCTCGGTCCATTTTTGTTCTTATTATATATCAACGATCTTCCAAATTGCTTATCAAATTGTAAACCGAGAATGTATGCCGATGACACGCATCTCACATATGCGGGAAGAAATCTTGAGAACGTTCAGTTTTGTCTAAATGAAGACCTAGAAAACGTCTTCAACTGGCTACAAGCGAACAAACTCACGTTGAACATGGCTAAAACCGAATTCATGCTAATAGGGTCGAGGCAGAGACTGAATACTCTCACAGCTTCACCAACAATTAGAATGAACAATACTCGAGTGAGCCAGGTTACAACTACAAAATCGCTTGGTGTAATAATAGACGATAAACTCGATTGGCATAGTCACATCGAAAAACTAACGAAAAAGATCGCCTCTGGTATCGGGGCCCTAAAGCGAATTAGGCACCTGATCCCAGCATCAACCTTACATCTCATCTACCAAGCTTTAGTAAAACCTCACTTTGATTACTGTGACATTGTTTGGGGTAGCTGTGGGAAAACGCTACGAGACAAACTGCAGAAATTGCAGAATAGAGCAGCCCGTGTGTTGACATTCTCTAACTATGATGCTGATGCAACTGAGCTACTCGAGTTTTTAGGGTGGAAAAATCTTGCACGCCAGCAGGAAATCCATAAAGCCACCATGATGTTTAGATGTCTGCACGAGCTAGCTCCAAGGTATCTATATTCAAAGTTTACGTGGCGTGACTCTGCTTATGACCTCAGGGACTCTGAAAATAAGCTTAATGTTCCACTACCGCGCACTAATTATTACAGAAAAAGCTTTAGCTACAATGGCGCCACATTATGGAACAGTTTACCACGCGATATAAGGAACACAGAGTCTCTGGGGTTGTTTAAACGTAAGATCAATGACATTCTTTAAGTCTAACGCACGGCATTCACGGAAAACAGCTTAAGTGTTATAGTATGTAGTTTTAATTTTAAATATCTTAGCGTATGTGATATGTATTTTTATAGGCTGATGAGTTGATCGTGTCTAAATAAAGATTACAATGCAATACAATACAATACTATAGACCTTCTTGCTCATGTTAATGTTTCGTTCAAGTTGTACTTCTCATCCCTTTCGGAGGGGAGGTGTCATGAGTGTTTTGATATGATAATTAATATTAGTGAATTTGTAACCACGCAAGTAGAAATATTAATTTATCAGATTAAAGCACGCGTCGAGTAAGCACGCTTTGACTGCGCTTAGTACAGTCACAACACACTGCGGACGGAGCTGAACCATCATGGTCGATCATGTAAACACCGCTGATTCGTTCACTAAACTTGTAGAGCTCAGCACAATTTTTAGCTGTTGAAGTAAGAATGTACCGTTGGTTTACTAACAAATAATGGTAAATTAAATAGAGGGGGGAGGGGAAGTAAATATGCAGAGATAAGGAAAGGAAGAATGCGATTTAGAAAAGTGAGTTTCAAATTTATATGATATGTAATGGATTTTCCACTATAATAGGCCACAATAGGTTATTAATACAGAATAAAAACTAATAATAATCTTACTCAAAAAGTACGCACATTCCTTACGGTTAGGACCCAATCCTACTCTAACAAGAGGAAGACAGCTTTTTTCACTGGTGTCTGACATTATTCACTTGATGCTCATTGTTACAACTTCCACAACCACCTGATTCGACTTATATGCCTTTACTGGAACATTCTCTTTCGCACTCATTGGTAAGAATAATTGTGTGGGCGCAGGACCTCGACCTAAAAGCATTAAAATTCTTTGAAACGCTCTGGATGGCATGAGACTCGTGCACGGAGACAGAATTTTGGTTTACACTTCCCTTCGAAGAAGAACTTTAATGAAAGTTTTAAAGCAAGGCCATTTGTCAAAGTCAGCTACTTTTTCGAGAATCAAGCCCTGATGCCGTCAATAACGTAGAGACGTTGAGGCAAAAGTTCAGAAGGTTCATGAATCTTGTGACTCGCACGGAGATTACAAAACAATCGGATGAATGACTAAACAATTCAAAAAACTAATTAAAACATTTAACAAGATTAATTTAAGAAAAACAGACTCAGGAAAAGGCATCAAAACGTGACAAACAAATTCAGGAAGTTCAGAGGCTTAAACGTTAGCCAAAGCACTTCGCTACATTATGTATCGATTCGGTTGCTCATCGACTTAACCTTCCCACACGCTAACTGTGTAAATCACATGGTTACTACTGTCTACCACTTTTGGAAGCCTGTAGAATACATCGACCTCATAGTTTTTTAAGTTGTTGTTGCTTTTAATATTTTGTCATATTCAGCAAATATGACCAATATGCAAATAAACTATGAATTTCCGGTGTTAAAATAGTTAAGTTCCTTTAAACAGCGTAAAAAAAGGAAAAAAATGTGAGAATACAAAACTGCTTTGTGTCATTTCACATAACAACCATAAACTTTCGATAATCCTGTACAACCGCAGATAATAGATTCTTTCATTAATACACGTCTGGGCCTTAGGCGCCTCAGCCAATAAGTTTGGACTCACTCTGCTCGTAAACTAGTTACCCTCTGGCAACACTGATGTTTGGTTGCTGATTGTAAGACAGCTTTCTTCTGCACAACTGACAGAACGCTCCATCCTCTGTAAGAACTAATTTCCTTGTTAGACTAACTCGTTTAATAACTATCTGACTTACAGTCGCGCGTTCTAGTTTTTTCACCTCAGTATTAATCTGTATTGCATGTCAACTGATTGCAGCTTTGAGTTGGATCAAGCCTTAGACCACAAAATGACTTTTGTTTCCTTGATCTCCACCATGCTGCTCTTTGCTCTTTTCTCGACTACAAGCCGTTTAACACATGCAGCCCCGTTAGATTTCCACAACGACACAGGAAGCTCCTGTAGTGAAATACTGCTACAACTTTGAAAAATTCAAATTGAAAAGAAAATTCTTAAAGGAAACGGAACATCAATAAAAGGTAAGTAGATGGAAATTTCATACACCTCCTGGTCTTGACACTTGCCGAAGCGAAGAGAAATTGTTAACGCTTAACATATTATCCCAATAGTCAGTATCTTTCGATACTCATTGTTAGGTTTGTCGATTAAGGCGCTGACTCATTGAAATGCCGCGATTTGATGGGCGACCGAAAAGAGATTTGAAATACTATTATCTATCCAAGATAGGGTCTAAAAGTGTGGAAAATTGTTCCACTTGTACAAATGTACACAACTCAGTTGACAGAATTTAGATATTTTTTCCTTCGTTAGCTAAGGACTGTGCTGACGTGTACAAGTCTGGTGGAACAATCAGCAATGTCTATACAATCGAGCCTCGTGATGGTTTAGGCGCCTTTGACGTATTTTGCGACCAGACCACTGCTGGTGGAGGGTGGACAGTGCTTCAGAAGAGACTTAATGGCTCCCTGGACTTCAATCGTACCTGGGAAGAGTACAAAAATGGTTTTGGAAATTTCTTCACTCAGGAATTTTGGCTCGGACTAGATAAGATCCACCGCTTGACAGGAAATGAGAAGGCAAACAGACTTCGCATAGAACTGGGTGTAACTAATGGAGAACCTCTTTACGCTGAGTATGGTTGGTTTGGAATTGGAAACGAGAGCACTGCCTATCGGCTGAAACTCAGCAAACGTTGGGGTTAGTCAAACTGCTTTGTTTAGCCTATCTTCATCCGCCCCCTGATCAATTATCGTAATTATTTCATCATCGGCCATTTTTATCATGGCTCTTCCTTAAATGTGAGTTTAGTGGCAAGCATGTACATGCTTTTGTAACTCTGATGAATCAGTTAAATAATTAACTTGTCTCATTGTAATCTACCACTTTATAGAACTCATATTTCTCTCCAAGTCTTTAGTTTTCTTGAGATAAATTGCTTTTCTTTTACATTTTTACGTATGTCGAGTTTTATAAAGTAGATTTCTTTATTTTGTTTTTTGCTTGTTTTTGGACAGATGGGACTGTCAAGTTTGATTCTCTTGGTTTCCATAAGAACTTCCCTTTTGGCATTAGGGATAGAGACACTGCTCATGGCAAGTGCAACGCCACACGCGGAGGAGGATGGTGGTACAGTGGAAAATTTCCGGTAATGTCAAACCTCAATGGTTTTTACCCAAGCCGTGGAACTCCCTTTGGCAACATCCACTGGGATCATTTAGGTAGCACTCCTGAGGCAAGCGCTCCTGAAAACACTGAAATGAAAATCAGACCGGTGAACTTTGAGTAGCGTTCCCTTACCAATAATTCCGTCAAGTATACTCCGGATTTGAACCCCCATTTACAAAAAGACAAGTAGTAATTGATTGATACATTGCTTCGTGAAGAGGATTGCACTAGAATCAACTTAGGTAGGATTTTTTTCCTTCATCAGTCGTACTGAATATGCAATTATGTAATTAATATGTAGTTGTATAACTGCCAAAAGTAAAAATAAAAAGAGCTTTTCATCAGCAAACGTTCACTCATGATTTTTCAAGGGGTGGGGAGAAGAGGGATTGTCAGTGAGAAAGGATTGCAGTAACAACTTTCTGCGCGCCTTACGTGAAGTCTACCAGTGTTCTTCCTTCTGGAAAGGGGGAAGTGGAGGGGAGGGTGTCGTACTCACACAGAACGGCTTGTACATAGCGTATCTAACGATAAAACAAAAAATAGCTTCATCACGCCGCATAGATTCTTCGGAATCGCACGTTTTCAAAAGCCTAAATTCAAAGAGCACCGAAAAATTATGCTCCGAGTGTTATGAGCATTCCAGACACCCTTAACAAAGCCCTTTTCAAGGAAACGAAACGCAAAAGTGAAATTTCAGCGATATTTAATTTCAAAGTTTCACTTTCAAGAAGATTCCGTATGCTATCTCCGACTTACTTGCATCAGGAATTTTTTGGCTTATTTCAATAACAATTCTGCCTTATGCCCTACACTTAATGAACGTTCCTGCCTAAAAAGAGACAGGGAAAATGATTCTTTTTAGTTAAATATTTGCTGCGATTAGAATAGCTTAATTTTCCTCTATGGCTGAAGTCGTTGTCCATCATTTTCGTTTCTTTTTACCCGACAAGCTTCCAAACCCCTCCTCCTTAGGAGGGAGCATGGGCTCTAAAGCTTTATATAATATTATTTGGAGTGGCTTTATAGAAATTGAGATTCTTCAAAAATATAATTGGTTTGCTTCTTCAGACAACGATTTTAATGCTACAAGGAGGGAAAAGAGTGTTGTGGTCAGAAGCAGACACACATCAATCTCTATTATTATTCTGTCGGTTTCAATCGACTACGATTCTTCCACGAAATCGACTCTAAAGAGATTTTACCCCGTGTAATTTTGAGTGCTACTTTCCGTGTGCGATGAATTGTGCTTGGAATGTGAAAAACGAGTTAATCTATAGCTACTGGTTTCCTATCAAAATCTAATATTCTCGGTTCCTGTTACCCTCCTTAAACAAACTGTAAACTTCTGTGTCGAATAAAGATAGTGAAATAAATGATAAACGATTGTGCTTGGAATGTGAAAAATGAGTTAATCTATAGCTATTGGTTTCCTATCAAAATCTAATATTCTCGGTGCCTGTTACCCTCCTTGGGTATTGATAGGTCAATATTGGCCATAATGATTTTAAAAGGATTTTTTTTCTTATAGTGTAAGGCGATTAAACGACGAAAAAAACGGCAAAAATCAGTTGAATTAGCAAATTTTAAGTTCTTCTCTAATTTTATCTTTAGCTACTTGACTGCAGTGAAAATAATTTACATTTTATGAGAACAAGGTCTGCGAGTGTTATTGACCAGTGTCTACTGAGCGGATGATGAAATTTAGAGCGTTAGCTTTCCTTTAGAGGGGAGATCCACTCCACTGACGAAAGGCAAGCTATAACTCTCGAATTTACACTCTCAACTCGGTTAATAAAACCAAGTCATCGACACAGCACAACATACCTCGTTCTGTTTTGGCTCAAGGTTAATTTAAGATGGTATGAGGATAAAAAAACAATCACTCCTTTCAATAGATTTTTCGAAATGTGAAAATTTTCTGTCCAACCATAGATAGCATTAACTTTCATGCGGCTCCGAGGGTTATTCAATCCTATCACTCGCATGAGGATTAAAAGAGACAACCGGATATGTATACACATATAAAGAATTCCAAAAACTCATCTCAAAATTTTACAACGAGACTTATTTAAAGAAAACAGCTTCAGGAATGGACATCAAGATGTGACAATCAAACGCAGCAAATTTATTTTGAGAGAGAAATACTGAGAAAGCTTCAATTATTATAAGCCATACAATTCCATAACATCATATGCCAGTTCGACATGGCCTTTTGTTTTTATGCATCCGACTCGTAAACTGTAGACCTGGATAAATCTCATGATTGCCAGCGTCGATAACAACAAATAAATTAAGGAGTTTTTCTCATCAAATCGTTTTCGTCATTAGAATGGAATACTGTTTCCCCCTGAAACACTCTCTTTTAACTATAATTTAAAAAAATCTACCATTTCATGTTTTACATTTAACTGCAGCATGTTGCAATATCTCATGTGTAATAGGGTTGACCTATTCAACGATACTTCAGTCTAAATAATTTAAAAACATTCAAACCAATTTCCAACAAATATTTAGAAAACATGATCAACATGCGAGTAAACTATGAATTTCCGCTGTTAAATCAGAAAAGTTCCTTAGCGCAAAAATAATGTGAAAAAAGGAAAAAAAAATGTGGGAATATTGCTTTGCGTAATTTTTTACCTTACATTGTCAATAATCCAATACTCTGCATTCGCGGAGAAACCACAGTGCATCCGTTACAACCGCAAACAAAAGACACTTTCATGATTACACGTCAATGTTTCAGCTGCACCAGCACATAATAGAGACTTTAAGCAAACACGAAGGCTACGGCAACGAGAACGTGGAAAAACAATAGATCTAATTGGCAGAACAATAGCCCAGCACATGCGTTTTAAAACTTTGTACATTTCTTAGCCGTCCTTTGCAAAACAACAACGTGAAATCACCAAAATTTGCGTCGTCTGTGAAGCGAAACCGCGGCGGCAAATGATTTTAATTTACATTTGGAACTCAACGCTTCTTTAATGCTGACGTTTCGAGCGTTAGCCCTTCGTCGGAGCGAATAGAGGAATTGTGGGTTGTGTGTGCTTTGAAAGGCAGAAAATGGAGCTACGTTATTGGTGGGTGCATGGCAACGAGAAAAACATGAATAAATTAGTGGAATGACGCTTCTTTAATGCGTTATGTTGAGTATTAGGTCTGGCGCCCTATGAGACGGTAAACACATCCAGCCATTTTCAAAATACTAACTGAAAGTAGAAACTCATTTTTTGATCGACGTCTTCCGTGGCGTTGCCGTCCTGACTGCTTAAAGTCCCTAATGTGGGATGTACACCGCTCGGAAACTAGTTCACCAGCTCACCTGCCTGCGACTCTGTTGCATTTCTGCTTGTACCGGTGTAATCAAAGTTTCTTCTGTATATCAGAGATAATGCTTTATCATATGTAAAAGTTATTTCCCTTGCTAGATTAAATCATTTGATAACACCTGATTTGCATGTTCGTGTTCTATTTTTTTTTTTTATATTTTTTATACAACGACAAACATATAACTTAAAGCTTCATTGAATTTTTCTAAGTTATAAACTTGGTGTTTTCAAATTTATATTTATTAATTTTTCAACAGACGGCATTGTCAGGTTTGATTCTTTTGGTTTCCATAAGAACTTCCCTTTTGGCACTTGGCAAGTGCAACGAGAAACGTAAAGGAGGATGGTGGTACAAAGTAAGTAAACTTTATTTAAACAGGGTAGGCCATTCAGCACAAAGGCTGTTATCCAGAGGGTTCCTGAATCGACAGTTTTTCAAGAGGGTGATCGTTTCCTTCATTCTCATGACCTCGAAGTTTTATTTACTCATTTTCTGTACAATAACTGTAGCAATTCTCGTGCCCTCGTTGGTCGAGAATTAAGGTCAATACGGTTATCGACGATAAAAGTGAATGACGTAACATATAGCCCAACGCTCTACAGTACTAGTGATGTCGCAGAAAAAAACAAATCATTTCAAAGCATTTCTGAAATAGGGACAGTGGCGAATATCCTAGTCTTAAGATCGGTGTACTTGGAGAAGTTTTTGAAGAACTTGTCGAGGTGGGAGAAGAGGCGGAGGAAAAATCTTCATTAATAGAAAGCCGGCCGGTTCTCGGATTGCATCGTTGAAAAAAAGATGACCCGTAGAAATATTTACAAAACCAGAGGGCAGAAAGATTAAAACTCAGTTGGCGATGAAATTTCAGGATGATAAAGTCTATTGTCATCCATTATTTCGTAGTATTTAATTGAAGAAGTCATCACATGACACAAATTAAAGCAACAAGAACAGCTCAAACGACAACGCCGCGAATTAACATGACACGCGTGCGAGAATTTCCGAAAACTCTGGCGCATTACAGCTGGCATTTAAGATTAAATTATATTGCAAACAACAAGTCGACCTCAATTTTCCGTTGTCTATAAACTCATTGATCAAAGAAATGAAGTCAAAGAGGTTTAAAACTTTGCACTGAAACTACAAGGCTCTCCTTATTAATCGGACAGTGTTAACGTCATTTCTATGATCAATAAGGTTACTTACACGACTCGGGCAGTCAGAGGGCCAATAACTAAAATCAACCAATCAAAATGCTCTATTGCCGGTCAATATTCTCTCAGTATTGGACCGGGCACTGTCCCGAATGGTCCCGAATGATACCGCACTTGTGTCCCTTTGAACTTCAGTCGTATAATAAATCTCTTATTAACCAAGCTTGCTCGGGACCGTACTGGAAGAATATCGGCCCTCGGTCTTTTTTGTACGGACCTCGCTGCGCTCGGTCCGTACTGTCAAGACCTCGGGCCGATATTCTCCCAGTACGGCCCTCGCCCTTGGTTAATAAGATCTATATACCGCAACGGAAAATTGTGATCGATTTGTTGATAAGTCCCTGTGCTTTGATTTTTAACGCATCTGCCATTTACTTAAGTAAAAAACTATAATCATAAAAGAATATAAACTTTATTGTAAACTTTTAAAAACAGTTTCATACGTTTGAAATAGATTATTGTTCTGAACAATCTGGCTTGATCTTCATCTCAACTTTGGTGGCACATACGTCCGGGCTTTTACTCCAGCTATCCCACATCATACCATTCTTTTGTTGATATTACCGCTGAG